TGCTTCGTGAAATCTATTCGGTACGTAAAAAGGGAGAATCTCTCGCGTCGGTCGATCTTCGGGTCTCGGATTGATTTAATTAATCAAGGATTTGTCCCGAACTTCCGTTCAGTCGCTTTCCTCGCCACGGAGCTGCGACGTCGATTAATTTAAACCTTACGTAATTACGCGAGAAAAATCAATGTCTAATCGTTTCCATTCGTCCCCACCGTCAATTACGAGGAAACCAAAAATTGCCCCACTACTCGGAAATGAAAGAAAAAAAAAAAACGCATCCCATTTCGTCGACGACAAAACCCGTATTTTTTGAGCCACTGATTCATACGATTAAGGTGGGCACTTTCTACCGCATATGGCAGCTGGAAAATAAACGTGAAAAAAATATATGAGTGTACAAAAGTGCGTAATCATTCGGATATCCGAAACATGGTCGAGCAGAAAAAGAAGGAAAACGAGAGAGAAGAAAACCGAACGAGAGCCGGGGCGAGCGGAGGCTTGCGCAAGAATCCTTCTATCGAGGTGCAACGCACGCGTCTTCGCGTCCTCGAGCCTGCATACAACGCGTGTACGCGTGCGCGCATCCGTATGTGACGCAAGTGCGTGGACGAAAACGTGCACACAATCGAAGGGGGTACGTGCGGATGTACGCGCGATTCTCGGTCACGTCGGCGTCGTTGCCGAACGCATCGCGGTAACGCCGCGAAGAGGTGCGGAGACGGTACCGAGGGTACAGAGGGTACGCGCCTCGTAATGGCACGCAATGCAATCCGAAACGTTCCTTCCTACGAGAGAGAACGTTTCCCCGCTTGGGAAAGTTTATGGTAATCCGCGGAGGAAAGACAAAGACTCCGGACGAGGTCCGCCGGCCGCTTCGAGCACGGCTGCTCATCTCCGGAGGTGATTCTCGCGATATTTCCTCGCGGGCGAATCCACGAGTCAACGAATCAACGAATACCTCGAATGTCGATGAAAAAGGTAGACGATTACATGGAAGCGCCGGGAACCCCGTTTAAGCGGTCGAGAAGAGGAAGGAACGGTTCGTCGTAATTTTGGAGACTGGCAAGAAGGGACGACCATTTTTTAGCCGTAGTTCCATGAGGTGTTTCCCATCTCGTAAAATCGATATCGAATCATAAAGTCGGATCAGGAGATCGGAAGCGCCGGAGGGCGGGGCTCGCGAAGGACACGGCGGCCATCTTGGAGAACCGAGTCCTTCGTGGCGTCGCGAAAAAGGCGAACGCCGAGTATCGGCCATATACCCGTTCCTTTCCGAAAGCGGTGGGCTTCCGGCGGTCTCGTAAAATTCGACGCCCTTCGGGTGGGGGTCGTCGTCGAAAATTTGGGCGTCGTTCCTGGTCGTCGGGAAACCGGCTTCCGCGGCCGGTCTCGCGAAAAATAAAGGAAGGGGAGAGGAGGAAAAAAATGGCGCCCCCGTGGGCCGAGATCGGAAACGATTTTGGTGCCCCGGGCAGGGAAAGTAGCGACTAGCTTGACGGATGGCTCTCCTTAACCCGCTCGCTCCGCGGCGTAGCTAGGGGCTACGCCTCGGGATCGTATCGGCGAGCTCGCGGTGTGCTCGCGACATGTACGCGACATGTACGCGACGTGTACGCGACATGTACGGGAGGCGCGAGTGCGACACGTACGAGAGACGCTCAGCGAGAAAAGGGGAGAGCGCCTCCGCGGATAATCCCGTTCGCCGGCTCCCTCTGCCTCTCCCTTCCTTTTTTCTCCTTTCTTTGATCGTTCGACGCCGAGCCGGATCTTCGGCGGAGAAAGTTTCGAGATCGATTGCGCAATCGAACGGTGAATTTCGAGATGCTATCGATTGGCCCGGAAGCCCTCTCGAGAGGCCCGAGGTACGACGTCGACGACGACGGACCTTCGCGGTCGACGAGACCAGAGACGACGGAGAACTTTGAAACTCGACTTTTAATTTCTCTTCCCCCGCGGAAGAGAGTCGCCCTCTCCTCCGCGATCTCTCTTTTCTCGACTTCCCGGGTGCCGATCGCGCGACCTGGAGAGGTTCCCATTTTGGGGCGAATTCGACGAATCGGGCGGGGTCGCGTCCCTTTTTCTCAAGGCAGAGGCTCTCGGCGAGGATCTCCGAGCTCGATGGAGGTGGACGCCGGACGTTTCCGAGAAAGATCTCGGTAACTAGGAGCCTCGTCCTCGGCTTCCGAAGACGGAGACGATCCGACGACGTCGTCGGTCTCTTCCCTCCTGACCCACATACACGCGACTCGCGACACTCGCCGACCCTGAAGTCTCTTTTGAGTCGCCTGCCCCGCCTCGCTCGACTTTACTCGAAAGATCGGGTCTCCCTCGATTTTTTGAATCCTCGTTCCGCCGGTTGTCCAGATCGGGTTCTCGATTTCTGCTTTCCTGAAATTTTGGTTGCGACCCTAAGAGGATCTCGCGTCCGGTCGCGGTCTCTCGCGGCCTCTCTCGTCCTCGCCGACGAGTCACGCCGATGACTCCTCGGATTTTCGCGTTATTCGCGCGTACGCTCGCGCACCTCGAAAGCCCATTATTTTCTTGCCGGCGTTTGGGAGATCGGTCTAACGTAAGAAGCGATCGTTGTCGGCGGCCGTTGTGTCGCAATGGGAAGTCTCGGTCTTGCAACGCCGACTCGGCGCTCGTTGTTTCGCATCGGCACGCCGCCACTCGGATAGCCTAAGAGATTTACCGACCGAGGTTCTCGACGACCGTTTTGCATTTGCAACCCCACCCCCTCCCGGCCGATGCGCGAGAATAAAAAGTATCTCCCAGGGTTTAGTCCGGGAATATATTACTCGCGAGCGCGGTCCCGTTCGAGTCGATTATTGTAAAACGGTCATAACAGCCGAGCAAATTAATGGTGGCTCCCGGAGCTTTAAATTCGGCCCGCGTCAACGATACCACTGTTACCGTTGCCCGGCGGGGACGCCTGTATACAAACGGAATAATTCAACGAGCGCGATCCGTTATTTCTCCCCGTTCCTTTTTTTCCCCGGCCGAGCGCCGGGTATTTCGCATAAATCTATGAGGGTGTTATAGCCTCAACGCCGGGAAAAAAGAAGGAACGAGGGGAAAAGGAAAAAGAGGGGCTAGGCACGAACTCTCGTAAATCAGCGTCGTATGACACTCTTACCCTCGGCGAGTCCCATTCTTTCCTGCCGCTCGGCGATTTGCATGTTTCCCGGCGTTTCCGCGATACGCAACCGCGTGCGCCGTGTTGCGGAGTGCAACATAACCTAAACTCGCGGCTCGGCCGAGCGAGACGCGAAGGAAGTTTCGATAAACGAAACGGAGACGGGCCACTGCGCGCCCCGAGAGATTTCCTCGATTAAAATCGCGACCGAAATCGGCCCTACTCGTCGAGTCCCGAATCGAGTAAGGCTAAAAATCGACAAGAGGGACCAAAATGGCCGCGCAAGGACTTCGAAAAGGAAATAAGGAATCGACGCTTACTTTTAGGTCTCGCCAAAAGGAGCGGTCGGCTCGAATGTCCGGTAAGCGAGCCGCTCGGGGCGTCCGGTTCTCGGCAATTCGGACCACGACGTCGGGCACATCCTAGCCGAAAGGTGTCGCAAGTCGGCGGCAGTCCTGCCGAGATATCCCGCGCTTAGTATTTCATTGAGCGCTTTTCAGCGAAAAGTCAATGCCTCGTTACGACAGAGATTGCCTCATCGCCCGGTCTGGCGCAATCGCGTTTCCCGTATTGCGCGGCGGTCGCGAAAGCGCGGTCGGTCGGGCAGACCTCCGCGGGTACGGCGCGGCGATTACCGACTGGCCAGCGCGCGCCGCTGGTCGGTAAAGTCGACTCGAGCAGCCGCGTCGCCGCCGACGCGAGCGCCATCCGCCAGCGATGCGTCGAACCTCGTCTCGCCGAGGCACCGGCCTTGCCAAGGCTGCGGGCCGTCGAACTCTTGGCCTACTGGCATGGCGCGCTCGTGCACGTATGTCGGGGTACTCGGCGAATACCTACGCGCGCGAAATTACGTACCCGAGTACGCGTGGCGCCGAGACTCGTCGCACCTTTTCGATTCGAGCTGAATTTTCATCGCTCGGCGGAATCACGCCGACGTCATCTTTTGTAAGTTATCGATAATACCTCCGTATCGTCCAATGCCTATCGTTCAATCCCCGTTTCTCACATATTTGCATAAGGCGCGATTTCCTCGGATTTTCTCCAGAGAGATCTCTTCGGTGGAAAGACGCAAACGAGGCGTTGGTCGGTTTCGGACTCCCGGGAAATATAAAACAGCCTCGAGGAGGCGAGGAGACGCGCTCGCCGCGCTAACCTCTGAAACGGCGTCCGGCACCTGTTGGGCCGTCTTTCACCTTGGGAACGGCGGGCCCTGTTTCAGGCCGCCAAGGCGCGGCGATTAAAACGGCGCTGAAACGCCGGAGGTGTCGCGCGAAGTCGCGCAATTATTTCCCTCCCCCGGAGGCGGCTCGGAGTCGGGCCGGGAAACCACGTGGGGGCACGACGAGCTAACGGTCGCGTCCGGCAACCGCGTCAGAGGCTCGCGCTAGCGGTACTCCGGCCCGGTGCCGTTACTTGACCGACAGATCCGCTAGCGCGAACGAGCCGCTAAGCCGCGGGCCCCGTAAGCTCGCATCGTGCCCGGCATTACCATAAAGGCATAAACTAAGACCCCCTCCCCGCCGGCGCCGCGGGGGACCCGCCGATCGCGGAAATTAATCGCGATCGCTGCCTCCGCGCGGAGTAAATTGCACCTTTTTCGAAGACCCCGATCGCCGATCGCCTCCTTAAACGCGGAAGTCACCGTTTCCCCGACCGGGACCGATCTCGGGATCCCCCCGACCAAGGCCGTTGGACGCCACGATGGACAATGGCCGGTCGACGACTCGCGTCCCCGACGACGAGACCGTTTCTAACGGTCGGAGTGCTCGGGGACCGCGAGGTTTCCGAGGGTCGGAATCGTTGCTCTTGGGTAGGCCGGGATTCGCGAAAAAAATGGACACACATCGCAGCGTACTTCTGGCGGTACCTGTTCCGGTGATCGGCGGGGTCGGCAGCTGGGAACTGCTGATATCCGGGGGCTGGGCCGGCTGCTGCGGCTGTTGCTGCTGTTGCTGCTGCTGGGGCTGCTGATTCTGGGGACTACTCGAGGGCACCACGGCGCCCGGGCTGCCCGCGCCTTCCGCCATGTCTCGCGGAAATCCGAAATCGAAGATTTCGATGTTCCTGACCCTCGGTCATGCGCCACTTCCTGCTACAACCGCGACATCACCTCCCCCGACCCGGCGCGCCCGACATCGACCAGGTTGGGCCCGATTATCGACTCGAGGATTCCCTGCCCGAGCTTTCGAGGGACCCGAGATCGCGCCGATCGTGATCGTCCTCCCGATGTATCATAAGGGGCCGAATAACTGCCCGAACGTCGCGGTTTGTCCGCCGATCGCGGAGACGCGACGATTCGGCCCGATTCCGCCCAAATTGCGTAAACTAGCGGTCTATAAACTTCGGGGTTAATTCAGGTCGATTTTCCGCGAATCACAGGGCATGGTCTTCCGAAAGGGCGAGTGGCTGCCGAGCCTCGAAATCGATATCAAGGCCATGGTTCCTTGGCCGATCGGAGCCTGTGGGCGATCATCGGTTCTCCAGTTTTGATGCGATGGCCGAGTCCGGTTCTCTCCGATCGATTGGAGCTTCCGCTGGGAAAATTCTCGCCCCCCGAAAACCGAGTTCCCTCGAGCTCGCCCTGAAAGGTTTTGGAATTTTCGTGACGGGAAATTGGCCGTTCCGGGACCTGGGAACGCGAAAAGGTCCGAGAGGGGTTCTTTCAAAAATTCTTCGACCGGCAGGTTCCGTGCACCGGGCATCGGTTCGATAATTTTATAATTTCTTGATTATGCCGGGCACCTCATCGCTGAGTAAATAATTTCTTTTTAAATCTCTGACAAGTAGGACGATACGATAGGTAAATGGATTTGCCTATATTTCCTGTAAATGTCTCGATTGGAGTGAAATCGATTGAATCGAAATTCAATTTGGTCGTGACTCGAGGGACTACTGTCCGTCATCCGAAGAAACTGGATGCCGACCTTAGGCTTTTTCCGAACCTCGGCCCTTGGGCGTTAGGGTGAAAGAAGCGCGACCAGGTTACAGAGTCAATGGGTCACTGGGGCTTGTTTATCGTATCAAAGCCCCGGGGGTGAACTTCTAGCCATCTTTGGGGTGAAGCAAAGACGCCGCCCTCTGCACTCCGAATCGGATTATGCGATCATTTTGGACGAGTCTCCTCACAGATCCCCCAGCGATTAAGGATGATGATTTTATCGCTCTACCGTTCCTCTTGTTTTAAAAATACGGACGATCCGATTTCTGATGTCACGGTTCTGGGAGTTTTCCCTGCGCGTTAAAAAAGATCGAAATCAGCAATTCCGGCCAACTTGCACCAGAAATCTATTTAGAAGAAGCGCAGGCATCGTTCGTTCCTCGTTTAACCTCCATTCCAGTAAACGCGAGCGTTTTGCCCGCGCCACCCTTATCTCGAATCTGCGAGCGGAAATGACTCGAATGGAATAGTCGATACCCCGGTAAAACCAGAACGAGACCACCCTGGGAAAGGGAAACCGAGATGCATCACCCCGAGGCAGAGACTCGCCGTACCGTCCGCGACGACACCCTCTCCTTCGAGCGGAGCATCCCTGGAGGTCCTCGAGCCCAGCTTCAAGGTTCCAAGCCTCGAAGGCGACACGTGACGAACTTGAAAACGATATCGAGCACCGGTCCGAAGAGACGGGGTCCTAGAGTGACGTCGTCAACGGCGAGGGACGAATCGCCCCGGAGAGGAGGCACGTGCCCCGCGACCTCGGATCTCGCACCCCTGGAGGCCCTGGAAGGGCTCCCGAAGCCACCCTGTCAGCCTCGAAGCGACAGGGATTTTTTCTTTCCGACCATTCCCCGCCGATGACACCGCGCGGGGGCGGTCGAGGAAGACGTCGAGGTAGACGAGGTTGTCGCGAAACTACACCGGGGAACCCGAGGGAACGCGGACCGCGCAAGGGGTGGTTTTGCCGATCAATCGAACTCACTGAAACTCTCGCGGATTCGCGCCCTCGACGCGGCCGACTCGCTCCGTCTCGCCCTGAGACCCTACCCCAAGCTGGCCGCGAATACTCGGGACCTATTCCGCGGATCTCCAGGCCTCTCGGAACTGACGTTTCGTTTCGGTGGTGCACTTATGGGGAACGTCGGCGAACTTAGGGGTTTCGCCACCAGATGGTAGCCCGGGACGCCCGCGTCCCGACGCCCCCAGGCTCGGTTACACTAGGCTGGCGGAGGGGCGCATGACTCTACCCCCGGACGAGTCCGGGGCTGGTCGTAGCCGTACTTTCGACCGAGCTTCGGGGTTGACTCTCTGGCGAGCTTTAAGGGATGGAGCCGAAGGCTCGATTGATTGTCTGCGATGGGCTCGATCGCGTTCCTTCCTTTATCCAATTAATCGTGCGATTATCCGGGCGAACGAGGACGTTGATATCCCGAGTAGCGAGTAATTAAATCTGTATATATATATATATATGTATCGTATATTTTGGGACGTACAGAGATCGGGGAAGGCGTACATCCGTGCCAGGGGAGGCGATAAGAGGCGCTCGATTAACAACCGGGGATATTACGTGCACGTACCCGGGATCACGGCCGGGCGCGCGAACCGTTGACGAGTCGATACTCGAGCGGCGACAGAGAGGCTGCGAAGCAGAAAGCGAGAGTACTTCTCTGGGTCGAAATCTCCTTCTCGGCCTTGAGTCTCTCGAGCGAAATAAAAACCAAAACGTGCCCGACCGAAATCCATTCCTGCCCCAAAAATTCAATCCCTTGAAAGTCCAAAACAACCTCTAGCCGAATCCAACCTTCTTCGTCGACCGGATTTTAACGGCAGTTTCAGATAAAAATCGTCCGAAAATTCGGTTAACTCGAAAATCACCTGAAAAAAATTGCGCTCGCCTTCGTAAGATAATTTTAATACATTCAAATGGTACAAGCACGTGGTACCAGTTTCAATGCCAAACTCGACCGATTGCGTCGGGCTCTTCTCGGTCCGGTCGATTACAAAATCCGGTGCCCTCGTTCGGGCCCGGCCTTTTCGAAAAAAGCTCGTCTCCGCTCCGGGTTTGAACCGCGAGTGACGTAGCCGCGTCACGTGCACTCGATAGTCGAGCTCACTCGGCGTGACGTCAAACCTCGCGAGCGTAACCCGGCCCTCGCTCGCTTTCCGTGCATGCGCCGTGGCGGGCGAAAGCTCGTACTCCTTCGATCGGGGAGAACCCGGCACCCTCGGCCACGCCGTGCTCGGAAAAAGCTCTACGCTGCTTCGGGGCCCGCGGGGGGGACATTCAAAAAGAGCTCTCGTCGATGCCGTCGTAGCACGCCTGCGCGTTGCGCGCCCTCCCACCCGTTTATTCCGCCTAACCGCATTAATGCCATTGCCTGACCTTACGGCACGGCGATCACTGGGAAAGACGTAGCCCGACGTACTCTCGAGACTCTTTTCGAATCGTCGCCGACCCCCGATCCGCCGAGTTCGATCGACTCCAAATCGGCGACGATCGAACCCAAGGGTGGCTCCCATCCGCGAATCGAGCCGGAAAGGCCACATGCGGTAATTAGGGGTCATCGAGGCGGGATGATTAATTCCAGCTCGATCCGGAGTAGAAAAGGACACGTCCTTTTCGGCCGAGTCGCTCCTCCTCGGCGGGCTCGTCAAAGCCGGGCCTCGGGCGACTCGCAGGGAATTGGCCGATTCCTTCTTAGCGAGAGAGCCGGTCGCGGCGTTTTCGATACGGTACTCGTAACTGTACTTCCCGGATGCGCGTACGGCATACTCGAGAAAGCCGCGAGACTCCCCGGGGTAGGGGGATTCGCCGATGTAAGAGGCGGATGTGAAAGTGCCGAAATCGCGGCCCGCAGGTGGACCGGCAGGAGAAACGGGGAGAAAGCAAAAAGGAAAGGACGAAGGGCGAGTCAAATGGGACTTCCTAGGTCGGTCCAGGTTTTCACGGAACTCCCGAATTTCGGGATCCGTTATTGTCGCGATACGGGACTACGATCTACGAGGAGCACTCCTGGGTACCCTTGGGTGCACCTTCGGCCAGGACGGACGGATAGCGGGGTGCCTCTCCGATCGCGAGTGCGGCTACGTGGATCGTAAAAAGCGAGGAGCGGAGGGGATACCCTCTTTGCCGGGCGGGATACCTGGACGGAAAATGGCGTAATATGGATACGCGGTCGTCTCCGTGCCAAGGTGGAATTAATCCTAGCTATCCGAGAGCGCGTCGAACCTTCGACTAAAAGTGGCCAAAGGGCCGATTCCTCTCCGGCACCGACCGCGTCGACGACGCCGATCTCCGTGGACCCCGGTAAACGGGATTCCGATCGAGGCCCGGCGTTACCTCCGTCCCCTCGTCCTCGCCAAGACAAACGGATAGCGGTGTTCCTCTCTAAGTGCGTGGCCGCGGATCACGTAATGTAGGCTCGCCGGCAGGAGTACCGCAAGGTACCGGTTACGTCACGGTTCCTGTTTCTTTCCCGGCTAAGCGCCTGGGAGACTCGCCGCCCAGTGGGGATGGAAGGCGAGGAGGTCGACCCCTCGGAGGGAGGGAAAGGAAAGGAGAGGAACCGACGGCCTCCGTCGAAGGAGCATCCGAGGAAACTCTGGGTCACCCGGTCGCCCCCGTCTTCCCCTGGACGCGAGGGTCCAGGGTGCCGCGAAAGCGGCGGCGAAACTTTGGACCCTCGACCGAAGGTGTCCTTGTCGCTCGCCCGGGGACGGAGATATCTATCCGCGATGCCGGATGTCCGCTTTCGGATTTTTTTCCCTCGTTTATATTACTTTCCATCGGATGACGTCCGAGTACTCGCGGAAATCCCGGAATTGGTTGAGACGTCTCGTTCCAACGATAAGACCTCGGCGTGGGGAAAAAAAATTTGAAAGTATTTCGAGGTGTACGCGGTATCGCTTCCAGGTTTGGAAAAGCCGTTCGCCAGGTGAGGAAGCGAGGGAGATAAAAAGCTCGGATGGGAAGCGCGAAAAGAGGGAGGTGGAAGGGTGCGAAACGCGCGGCCCGATTCCGGCCGCGGTGTCGCGGGAGTTCGGAATCCCACGTACGGTAACCGCATACTTGGCATTACGGGATGCACCCGT